TAGTAGTAGGGAATCGGTCAAACTGGAATTTTTATATTCTATTTTTTTGATACATGTGTTTTTAATTACTAAAAGGTGTGTTTTATTATTTATAATCACGTTTGAATATAAATCCTCTTGCATTAGTACTTGCAGCAAAAAACTGGTAAAAATACTACTATTCACACCCCTAATCAATCCAGATCGGTTTCAATAGTACGAAAAGTACGGTTTTACTAAAATCAAGTACGAACTACTTGAAACAACCACGAAACACATAATCCTTAAATTTTTTGCAATAATATAAAATTTTCAATGATTCTGTATGAAAAATAACTCCCCAAAAATAAACCACTTAAAGTCTGATAAATTATTTTTAATTAATAAAAAAAAAATAAATTACAGACATCAACAGCATTAAAAGCACAAAAAAAGAAAAATGACAGCACATGTTGGCTGGCTGATGCCATCAACCACAATTGTAATATATTCACAACAATTAGCATTACAATTATGGATAAAATGTAAATTTACTTACATATATAATGTAATTCAACAATGACAATAACAATGATATCAAATTACAAATTAAAATAAATACAAACCATACAATTTTAAATGTATATAAAAAACACCATGATAAATATCTAAAATAAAATGCCACACTACTACTATAAAATATCCTGTTAAAAAAACGTCAACTAAATAAGATACAAATACAAAAAGAAAATTAATTCCAACCACATCATGTAGAGGATAAAAAGATACAATAGAGAAAAGTACTTAATACATACAAAAAAAAACATCTTATGTCTCAAATGTACATGTATGTGACACATGCAAATAAACATCAATTAATATTATAGTGTTGGTGGCATAGAAGGATAATGTTGTAGGGTAAAAGAGATAAAAGGATTGCCAAATCGTTGTTGCCTATCGTAGGCACACTACAGTAACACATATTCCAGAACTCAGTCCAGACAGCAGTCCCGCCTAATGTCCAGACGACAGTTTAGAGTATAGTCCAGACTATAGACTAAATTATATTAAATGGTACAGAATATAGACTAGACAAAAGCCCAGACTATGGACTAGTCTATAGTCCAGACTAAAGAATGGACTATAATCCGGACTATAGGCTAGACAATAGTGCAAACTATAGACAAGACTATAGTCCAAAATAAAGACTAGACTTTAGTCCAAACTATAGACTAGACTATAGTCCTGACTATAGACTACACTACACTACAGTCCAGACTATAGACTACACTATAGTCCAGACTATACAATATATTCTAATCTAGACTATAGACTAGACAATAGTCCAGACTATAGACGAGACTATAGACTAGACTGTAGTCCAGACTAAAGACTACACTAGACTAAATTCCAGACTATAGTCTAGACTATAGATTACACTAGACTATAGACTAGACTATAGTCCAGACTATAGACTAGACTATAGTCCTGAATATAGACTAGACTATAGTCCAGACTATAGACTAGACTAGACTATAGTCCAGACTATGGAGTAGACTATAGTCCAGACTATAGACTAGACTATAGTCCAGACCATAGACTAGACTATAGTCCAGACTATAGACTAGACTATAGTCCAGACTATAGACTAGACTATAGTCCAGACTATAGACTAGACTATAGTCAAGACTATAGACTAGACTATAGTCAAGACTATAGACTAGACTATAGTCAAGACTATAGACTAGACTATAGTCCAGACTATATTCCAGACTATAGACTAGACTATAGTCCAGACTATAGACTAGACTAAGACTAGACTATAGACTAGACCACAGACTAGACTATAGACTAGACTATAGTCCAGACTATAGACTAGACTATAGTCCAGACTATAGACTAGACTATAGTCAAGACTATAGACTAGACTATAGTCAAGGCTATAGACTAGACTATAGTCCAGACTATATTCCAGACTATAGACTAGACTATAGTCCAGACTATAGACTAGACTATAGTCCAGACTATAGACTAGACTAAGACTAGACTATAGACTAGACTAAGACTAGACTATAGACTAGACCACAGACTAGACTATAGACTAGACTATAGTCCAGACTATAGACTAGACTATAGTCCAGACTATAGACTAGACTATAGTCCAGACTATAGACTAGACTAAGACTAGACTATAGAGTAGACCACAGACTAGACTATAGACAAGACTATAGTCCAGACTATATACAAGACTATAGTCCAGACTATAGACAAGACTATAGTCCAGACTATAGACAAGACTATAGTCCAGACTATAGACAAGACTATAGTCCAGACTATAGACAAGACTATAGTCCAGACTATAGACAAGACTATAGGCAAGACTATAGTTCAGGTTATAGGTTATAGTCCAGACTATAAAATAGACTGAAGTCCAGACTATAGACTAGACTATATACTAGACTATAGTCCAAATTATAGACTCAACTATAGTCCAGACTATAGACTAGCATTTTTCCTGATATTAGATACTAAAAGCTTTTAAAATTACGAAACCGGAATTAATTAATGTATCTGAACCCTAATAAATTTATCTTAATTCTCACTTAAAGAAGTTTATCATTTGGAATTCCTGCAAAAGCAAATTGTATTATATTTTTTTAGAATAATTTCAGAAACAATTGCTTGAGAAAAGCGTTAACATTATACCCTCATTATGTGTTTAAAAAGAGAAAATAAACAAAATGCCTGCAAAATGTATAGAGATTATTGTAGACATTTATTACTCTTATAGATATAAATAAACATACAAGGATCTTTGTCTTTGGCACCCTCACACATGTCTGTATATGTCTGCCATTTTGTTAAAAGACATTTATTAGACAATACACGCACACACACACATTTAAAAGCACACTCCCACTCTATTATACGTATATGTTTATACAAATTACTCAAGTTCTATTAAAATTAATTGTATTGACATTCATTAGGGAATTATTTTTGTCTTTAACAGAAGAGTCCTTTAGAAATCGTATAATTTCGTACAATTGACTGTGTATAAAACATGTATCGTTGTGGTTAAGTCTGACAACCCACACACCCGATATGTGTATAACATATACTAAATACTTAAAGAAAGAATGGCTACGAGAAGTGTTTGTGGTTGTGTATAGCAGGAGATGATGATGATGATGCCATTTAATTGCTCTAATATAATTAGAGTCAAGTTAAAGATATTAGACAGAAATTCCATATAGGCAAAAAATAACAAATATTGTTTGTTTTTTATCAACACCATTTCCAAAGTATGAAGTTATAAATTTTACCAACCCTCTGAGACAAAGACTTCAGACTACAAACTCCTCAGTATAGACTATAGTTTAGACTATAGACTAAACTATAATCCAGACTGTAGACTAGACTATAGTCCAGACTATAGACTAAATTATAGTATAGACTATAGACTAGACTTTAGTCGATATAGACTAATCTATAGTCCAGATTATAGACTAGACTATAGTAGACTAGTCTATAATTAGGACTATAGTCTAGTCCATAGTCTGGACTATATTCTAGTCTATAGTCAGGACTATAGTCTAGTCAATAGTCTGAAATATAGTATAGTCTAAGCTAAAGTCTAGTCTATAATTTAAACTATAGTCTATAGTCTGGACTATAGTCTAGACTATATATTAAACTAAAGTCCAGACTGTAGACTAGACTATAGTCCAGATTATAGACTAGTCTATAGTCCAGACTATGGCCTAGACTATAGTCCAGACTATAGCCTACACTTTAGTCCAGACTATAGCCTAGACTATAGTCCACACTATAGCCTAGACTATAGTCCAGACTATAGCCTAGACTAAAGTTCAGTCTATAGTCCAGACTATAGTCCAGACCATAGCCCAGACTATATTCCAAACTATAGTTCAGACTAAAGCCTAGACTATAGTGCAGACTATGGCCTAGACTATAGTCCAGACTATAGCCTAGACTATAGTCCAGACTGTAGACTAGACTATAGTCCAGATTATAGACTAGTCTATAGTCCAGACTATGGCCTAGACTATAGTCCAGACTATAGCCTAGACTATAGTCCAGACTATAGCCTAAACTATAGTTCAGACTATAGACTAGACTATAGTTCCGACTATGGAATAGACTATAGTCAGTCTATAGACTAGACTAGTCAGACTATAGATTAAACTATAGTCAGATTATAGACTAGAGTATAGTCCCGACTATATACTAGACTTTTATAAATGCAACAGTAAATGGTGTTAAATATTTCTTATCTCTCTGAATATTCTACTTCTTTATATTATATACAATTTACCACAAAATGAAATTTTAATTTATTATACGGCAAAATTGTGTGGGTGTCAACTAATAGAATGAATTTTCAACTACATCCCATACTTTAGCCATTGTTTTTCTTTCCCCTTCATGTTTGTCTATGTCTACTTAAAAGGATAATGGATGCTTAAGTACATTTTGAGAAAGAATGACAAAAAAAGAGAAAAGAACATTAAAACTTGTATGCCTTTTTGTATTGAGGCAACCAAATGGAGAAGTCGACATAATGCCACACGGGAAATAAAACAAATTAATTTTGCAAAACTAACGTATGCCGCCTTAAAAGAATCATTTTCATTTACTTTGAAAAAAATATATACAACGGATGCATTTAACTTAAATTAATTGTTTAGTTGTGGTTAATTTTGTGCAAAGTTTTTGATTTGCTTTATTTATGGAAATACTTTTTTTTATTTAGCTACTATAATGTTAAAGTTAATTATATGGAGGAGGAGAGAGATATAGCAAGGAGTTATTAATGTTTAAATACATATTGTATATATAGTTGGTAAATTTTAATAATAAGTGTTAAGTTTAGTGTTAAAAAGTGTACATAACCAAAAAATCGGCTTATTGTGTTTTAACTAAACATTTAAAAAAAATCTTAAGTTAAATTTAAGTTAACTGTAAGAAATTCATAAAAATATAATAATAACTTATAAAAATAACAATTTCTCTTAAAGCCTTCGTATCATGGACTAAGTTCTACACTACCTTCCCTAAAGAATTGAAACCCATATTTAATGTAAAAAATGCTCATATGGGTCATTTCGCTAAAAGTTTTGGCCTAAAAGATCAACCCACCTCGTTTACGAAAAAACATTCTATGCCAAAACCAGCACCACCCACAAATCGTCTAACATACACAGAAAGGTACATAAGTTTATATTTAAATCAGATTTTATATACAAAATTTTTACTTAAATTCTATATTTTTTCCACAGAGATCCCGAGAAAATCAAACAAGAGAAAAAGGCTAGAAAACATCGTTTTGGCACTACGGTTAATGATGGTGGTGTACGCACCAGTAATCGTCCGGCTCCAAATAGATTGGCTAAGATGATTCCAACCTCTAGATCTTTGACTATTTCAGAATTTGACAGTGGTTTGCCAGCGGCTAAAAAACGTAAAAACTAATTGTTTTATATTTATTTTAAATAAAAAATATTAGTTGTACCAGTTATATTTTAATAAAAAGTTTATTTTTTGAACTATATTTAAATTAACTGCTTTAATTGTTATTCATTAGGTACTCTACTTTTGATATTTACTTCTACTTAGTCCAGGCATTATTTCAAACTAGTAATGATAATTATGCCACGAACTGCGATCAAGTTCGAGGTTCAAACCGTCGAGATTTCTTTTCTAAGAGAAATTAAGGTCTAGAAATTTCAATTCATTGTTTTAATTTCTTATCTCTTTGGAAGAAGATAACGTTGCCTTTTGAGCCATTTAAGGGTTCATAACCCTCTATTTCAAAAAATAGCTCTTGAAGTGATTGACCTCGACTTAATGTCTCCAAAAGTTGGTTAATGGTATTATATGGAGCGGTTCAGATAGAGATCAGATCAGAATAGGCTCCTCATAGAAACTATTCACATTTGTTATCTTCATACATACTGTACACCTACTATGTTAGGGATCCACATATTACGTTGGTGGGACAATGTTTGTTTAGCAAGTGCTTAACATCTGTGATTCTTTACCAGAACTTTTGGTTGTTCCACATCAATGTCCAAACTTAAAAATTGTGCTACTTCAATTGGAAGTGTCCATAAATCCATTGGATAAAGAGAAGTACGTTTGTCTGAGCAGTTGAATAATTGGTGGGTATCGTGGGGACATTGGGGATGGCACGGTCTATGCGTGACTATTAGGCATTACGCTTGTTTCTTCATTCCGATCTTAGGTGTGCCAGAACTACTCTTGTTTTCCGCGGCAGGTTTTCTTCTGTGTCTGTTATGGGCGGTGGGCGACCTCTAACAGTGTGATGTTAAAGTTGGGATGACATCCTAGGAGGAACTGCTTATTCAACATTCCTTGACTGGAAGGACCTTCGTTTCCTCGTGCAGATGACGTTCGGAGGTAATTTGTAAGCAGCCCATTACAGTCCTTAGGGCAGTGTTTGGCAGCTTTGAATGTTTCTCCTCTGGGTATCACTGAGCGAAAGTGGCCACACTGGGGCAGCGTAATTAACCACTGACCGACCAATCGTTTTGTATGTAGCTAACAAGGTTTCTTTACCCATACCCCAAGTGCTGCCGGCTATCGCTTTGAGTACCTTGTTTCTACTTCGCAATTTGTGCGTGATTGCAGTGACATGCGCTGAGGAAGTAAATAGGCTTTCAAATGTGACCCCCAAGGTGGTAAAGAGTTTTGCTGACGACTTCGCCGGTGATAGCTGCAGGTTACGCGCAGTAATTAAGTAGTGTTCACATGCTTTACATTTGATCGATTTTTGTCTGAGTTGATCTTCATAACCTCCACAACAAAGTATTTTCGAATACGTTAAGTGCCTTTCTCTTAGAATTTTAAGTTCAACAACATGTCCCCCTTTAGCGTACTTTTAAAGGTTTAAACATTTGATACCAGAGAGGAGTAATTGTCGAGTAAAGCATGTCTTGTAATCTGGCGATTCTAGTAGCTGCGCTGTCTGTCTACCAAATACAGGTTAGTAGTAGTAAACATAGATCCAATGGTATTTAAAACTGTTGGGCATTTAAGGAAGTTTACCAATTACTTTCACCTCACCCTTAGACGAGAAATAAAGACTCCGAAACTGAAAGATATTCGGAGTCATCGGCCAAATGAAACCTGTAGCAGGGCTGACTTCTAAATATGTGGAGGTCCTTCTGGTAAATTCCTATAATAGGAACTTTGTCGGCTTGCCTGAGTACTAGCGTTATCTTTGCAGATTATAGCAACATGGATCGAAGACACTGGATGGTTGTTTCATTCGAAAAGTAGATACCGTTGTTCCTCTGGAGTCAAACACAGATTATGATGCAGTTCAATTGGAGTAAAAACTGAAAGAGTTTGCATCCTTTGGCTCAGAGAATTGTCCATCCAGTAAGTCCTGCGGGTGGCCAGTTGCCCGCAGTACTATGTCCTGGTTGGTCAGTTGGTTGAGGTTCCTTCGGGATCCACGTAGTGGCTGTGGTTTAAACCCAAATTCGCGGGGAGAGTAAGTGGCGGTTAAAAGACTGATGCATGATAATAGTCAATATTTCGGGATAAGTTCGGTGCTGTTGCCGAAAACAACAGATACCCCACAGAGGAGTGACTGTGGGACTTGGAGCGTTGGAAATGGGTTGGTGTCAATTGTATATGATTCGGGATGAATGTAGAGGTATGCGGGACTCGTCCACCCGTATATCTAAATGAGTGTGTCGTATGTTTTTCTCTTATGAATGTGTCGGATAAATGAGAAGTGTGCTGGGTTGAATGATGATGGATGAAAGGTATCATATACATGTGATACCATTAAATTTTCCTTCCTTGCCCAGATATGTTCAGAGTAAACTCTGTTCATATCAGAATTACCACAGCGTGTCACTGTGAGTAAGAACAATGTCTACGTCTTATTGATGGATCGTACTTCGGTCCACCGGTTACGTCTCTAGGTGCTGTTGCCGAATCAACAGAGCCATAGTAGTGTGGTTGGGCGACATTATGTCGGGGTAGATTGAGCTTGCTCATGACACCTGTCTTTCCCCAACGTGACTACTTTGGCAAGAGATTAGAGTACTCCAGCAAAGTACTTGTGCATGGACCGGTCAGAGCCAATGTACAAAAATTTCCACCTGAGTTCTTCATTGAAGAACAAAGGACAAGAGCAAGTCTACCCAGTGGATGAAAAAGACCACCGTGAGATAAGGCCGTCAAGGCAGGTGCTCACGTTAAAATTCTCGACAGTCATGCCGTTCTTATGGGGTCAAACACAGATTATGATGCAGCTTAATAGGAGCAAAAACAGAAAGACTTTGGATCCTTTGCTTCAGGGAAATCACTTCGTACTAATTGTCATTGTTGACTTCTTCTCAAATTTCAATGATATAGTTGCAAGACATAGTTAATAATGGGGCAAGTAACAATTATTTCTGAAAATATATAGTTGCCCACAAACTACTGTTATCGAATCCTGGCTTCTGTTTGAGAGTGTTTTAGTCGAGTGTTAGGTGTAAATTAGAGACGATTTCATTTCATAAAGATATACTTTCAAGATGTAGATAATAATGGGCAAGTAACGATTATTTCTGTAAATATACAGTTGCTCTCGAATATGAAGGTTTATCAGATCGAATTAGGTAAAGTATCCAATCAAATCTTAGGTACTCCAAATTCAAAAAGGTATAGACAACTTTTTCCCTACAATCTCGTTCCACTTTACTTCTCTACCACCATTATGTTATAAAACTAAGTAAGTGGTAAGACCTTAAATATATTTATTTAAACAAATAAATTTTCACTGATTTAAAACATTGCTCGCATAAAACTTTCTTCATCTTCTACCATATATTTCCCTTTCCATCACGAATAAAACACTTTCATCTGTGACCTTTTTTAAATACATATAAACTCATAAATATCTCATAACATTTTATAAAATATTAAAATATTTATTTAAAAAAAAGTTGTATGTAAAAAAAATTACTTTCTTCTTAAATAGCTTTTTACGATGAATTCAAGCGATTAATCGAAAAAAAATATGTTGCAAACTGTTAGAAAATTGACTCTTATCATTCAGAAACTTATGTATATCAAAAACCATCAACAAACAACTGCTGCAACCCACAAACACTGGTCACAGTCATCACTTTCTATAAAGTTTCTTTCTACTATATAATTTATATATTCATAACATTCCTTTCCCCACTTTCAATTTATATCGCTCTTTGGTTTTGCTAAAAAGTTTAATTTCATTTTTTTTTTCAGATTCCCTCTATTATATATTTATTATATGTGTGTGTGTGTGGGTGTATAAGTGTGTGTGTGTCTAAGCCGGACATCCTTTTGGGAAAAATGTTGTTAAAAATGCGCTAAAACATTTTTCATAACTTTTTTTTTCTTTTTCTTATATTTTTTTCATATTTTATCTGTTTTGTAAAAATCTTTAGATTTTATATAGATTTCTTTTTTTTTTCTTCTTCTATATTCTACATATAAATATTAAAAATCCATTTTCCGCTAGATGAGCAGCTATTCAGTTTTGAAAATATGTTATATATACCGTTTGCTGTCGGCTGGTAGCTGTCGCCAGTGTGTCAATGTTTGGCAGTTGACATGTAAAATTTGTGGTATTAGGTTTTTTTGGATAAAAATAAAATATTTTCTTTTTCTTTAGGTATATTAAAGTGGTTTTTAAATTTTGTTTTTGTGAGTCAGAATAAAATATTTTTTGGTCCTCTGTTGATTTAATGCTATTTGACATAAAAAGGCATCATTATTCAGTGAAGTTTAGCTAAAATAAAAGGGCGTTACATTAAGTCCTTTCAACATTTTCCTTCTATTTTTGGCGACACGTGAACAAAGTTCATTTACAATTCATTTGATTTTTTTCTCAATTTATTTCGTTGCAACATTTTGTTAAATAATCCTCTTTTTTTCTTACTTTCTCATCAATCAGTTTTGTATGCTTTGTATTTTTTTCTTACCAAATTGACTCCCCTTTACAAAGGACCCTTTCTTCTACGAATGTTACCATCAAAGTGTGTAATGTATATGTATTAATTGTCAATACCCACACGTGTCCAATGTATTTGTGTAAGTGTCTTCCGCTTAAAGTGTATCATTGCTTCTATGAACTCTAGTCAATTTATCATTTCATTGACTTTTATTTACAGTGTGTGTGTATATGGAAGTATTTGTTTATGGAAATGGCTTTAGCCGGATGTTATGGTCATCGTAAATTAGCCTAAAAAAAGTGTGCTTTAAATTAAATGGTTCGTATTATTATGATGTAGTCGAATTATTTGTTTAATTCTTATTGTTATTACAAATTTGTCACGTGCTTAGATAATTTGTTGTTGTTTTTTTTTACTACAAAGGATGAGATCATATTACAAACGTTGTTTGGGAAAAGAAAGGGGTAGAATTATATGTGGTGTAAGGTCAAGTATTATACTTGTAGAGTTCAATATGAAATTAATGCGCTGTTTCGCTAACTTTGGCAGCAAATTCTGATGAAAATCGTAAACTATAGCCTTTTCAATTGCA